TAATTAATGCTAACTAAGGAGACGTTAAATATTACCCTTTATTGTTGTGGGGACAAGTCTTTAGCATCAATCACAGCAGTCATAGCCTAAATTGTGTGCCTTGATACATAAATGTATTATATGTATTAGCAGAAACAGCATTGAGTCATGCTTTGTGATTGGCTGCTAACGATGTTATTGGTAGAGATGTGATGTTAAATTCTCTGGAACATACACAGCCAATGAAATGGTGCTTTTAAAAACACTCAGAAAGAAAATGAGTGTTATAAATGGAAGTTGGCTCTTTCTCCTTGTTTAAAACACACACACACACACACACACACACACACTTAACTTCTATTTATCACTCTGTCCTCTCCTCCTTGTGATCTGGCTCATTCCTCTGTCTGACAAGAGGACACAGATGGTCACCCCCTCCCCTCCCTCTCTCTCTTACCTGACCAGCGTCTGGTTGTGAAGGTCCCAGACGACGATGTTGCCGTCGCTGCAGCAGGAGAAGCAGACTTTGTTGTCGGGGGAAATTGCCAGAGCGTAGCAGGCGGGGGCGGACGACGTTAGCTCTGCCTTGATACGGGGAGTGGGTGTGGCCAAATCCCAGATGGACAGCGTGCTGGCCTCCCCGCCGACGATAAGGGTCCGGCCGTCGGACAACAGCTTGCAGGAGCGGATGTAGTTATCCCTGTTCTGATCATAAAGAAAGGACAAATATAAACTTTTATGCTCAGTGATATGTGCTGTGGTTCACTGTAATTGATGGCAAGGGGACACGAGTACGAAGTTAAGCATACTGCTACAGTACTTTCACAGCAATAAATGAAGATGCTGCAGGATTTGGCTTTAGGACAACGACACAAATCTAAAGTGAGTTCTTATGTGTGAAAAACAAACAGTATCACTTTGGTCGTAAAGCAACATTATTAGACACAAACAGACTTTAAATAGGAGTCTACAACAGCCAAACTCTCCCCCCTCCTCCCTCAGGTCTCACCAGACAGTCCAGCTGGGCCATGGGGCTCTTGCTGCCCGGCTGGCTGATGTCCCACACCTTGACGCAGCCCTTCCCTCCAGTGTAGACGTGCCGTGTCGAGGTGCTGATGGTGACGGCGCACACCACCTCCCCGTGGTTCAGGGTGTGGATCTGACGTGCGTGACGAGGGATTCCCGGACCCAGCAAGGCGTCGGGGGGAAAGGGCACCGGCTGCATCTGGCCGTCTGCGCTCACATGGAACGAGTAGGCGCTGGAGAGAAGAGAGATGGAAAGGGAGAGAAAAAGGATAAATAACAGAGATTAAAGGCTACAGCAAAAACACAACATCAGACTGACAAGTCTGTTTCTAAACATTGAGACATCGGTGAACTTTTCAGTGAGTGAGAAGAATAATATCAATGTGAAACTTCGATGAGCAACATATAAGACGGCTTAAGTTTCAGAGCTTATGTGTCAGACACAACCTGCATCATCTACTCTCTGTATCAGCCAGGAATTCTTTTGAGGAAAGACAGAGAGACTAAAAACAAACATTTAATAACATAGTCTAGAAAACTGGAATAATATTGCTGCTTTTAACATTATCACGATGTACTCCTCATTGAAATAGAGCTCAACAGCAGTAAAAATTAAAATCACATTCATTTTCTAGAGAGATTTTCCTCCTCAGCCAGAATATCAGACTTCCCACAAGCTACAAGACTGTGAGACGATGCTATGCTCCTGTAGAAAACACAAGTCCGAATGATATAATCTGTGTTTTAAGAAAATCGCATTTTAATGTCAAGAAGTAACACAACGATGTTCACCAGGACCATGTCTTTGGAAAGGGATCGCAAAGGTATATGGGATGCGCAGTTCCTTTACTCTTAAAATAATTATGTGCACAGTCTTGTACCTTTGCTTTTTTTCCATTTTAGAATTAATTATTTTCTTCGAATGAAATGTTTTATGGTCACGACTCATATGTAGCTGGTCGGACTGGTTCCAGGCTCAAAACTCCTAAACCACAGCCATTCTAAATGTCATTGTGAGGCTCTATAATATTCTCAAAATAACAAAGTTATATACTATATGAAGTGGAGACAGACATGGGAGGCATATTACTGTTTCAAATAATATTGTCCACAGATCACATAATTTTATAAAATGAACTTTAGTTTTGACCAAATTAAAACTAACAACTGAAGAAACAAATCAGTGTTTATTGAATTTTTAATTTTTAGTTTTAATTTCGACATCTTGTTTGGAAAATCTTTTCTTTTTTTTCCTCTGTTAATATTGAAATCTGAGCAGAGCGGTTGCACAGGTGAAGATTCCAGTGATAGTAGGAAAGGAAGAAGAAACTCACGGTTTTCCGGAGGCAGCTGACTGCAGGCTGGCAGGAAGCCCAGGGACCCTCATGTGTGGGTGTGGAGATTCATAGCCCACCTGGAAGAGACGGAGACCCTGAGTGTAAGAAAGACTAGGAAAAAAAATACCTGGTTAAAGCGAAAGAGTGAAGAAAAGAGTATTCACTCATAAAAATGGATGATATCAGATGAGAGATTAGAATCCAATGAGATCATATAAAATCATAGAGACTTTTCAGGAGCCAAGGTCACAGATTCTTAACGATAAATAACAAGACAACCTCTCCTCTTCTTCCTCCCCTCCTTCTAAAATGCGTATGAGTATAGAATATCCCTCGTTCTGCCCTCTGACAGGCTTATATGCTGAGGTATCACATATAACAGTGACACTACAAAGATAAATCATATGCAGAGCGTCGAGCTCACCACAGGGGACCGTCCGTAGCCAGCGGCAGCAGCTGCCGCCGCTGCTGCTGCAGCTCCGTTCATCTGGGGGGAAACCAAGTGGAGGCCTGCGCCGTAGCCCGCCGCCCCGGGCAGGTCCCCATTCACCCCTGGAGGCGGCAGGCCAAACGCCCCCGGAGGGTACGCTCCCTGCACCGCTAGAGGGTTTCTGAGACCCAGAGCTGGAGGAAGGACAGAGAAAAGACAGAGTTGTATTGAAGAGAGTATTGTGTTGTGAATTATTGAAGTGAAGAGATTATTGATTGAGGCAGAGACTAAGGAGCGTCAGTAACTCAGAGAGCTTCAGATAAACATGGGAGAGAAGATGATGCAGGTTTTATTAAGGTGACTCCCTGTGCAGGACCTGTCAGTATGTGAGACAGCTGAGACTGACAGGCTGTGAACAAGCTACTGCAGGAGGCAGGGAATCACCAACTGCAGCACTGGATCACTACTGACCCCTGCTGGCCACCATTCCATCCTGCAGCAAGGCACTACCTCCGTGTGCGTGCGTGCGTGTGTGTGTGCTCACACAAGTTATCCTCCGTATCCTCCTCCAGCGCATGTGGCTGCATCTATGGGTGTCTGCATATGCATACACGATGGCGTGTGAGTGAGTGAGAGAGAGCAGTGTGGGGGCTAACAGGTGATGTGAGAGAAAGAGATACACTGGAATAGATGGAGGCTCATTATGAAGCAGCTCACAGTCACAGTCCATCACCTCTCCTAATCTTTCCATTTAAAAAGTGAGGCGCACTGAATATTTTTGCCCACAGCTGCTTATTAAGTCCAGATGGTGGTCGGTGGTTGGGGAGCTGGCTGACACCCATACCAACTACTGCAGCTCGCCGTTGATAGAATCACTACATGCAACAAAGCCAGTGGCGGGTGAAAAAATGTCTCTGCAAATATAGGTTCAGGTTTTTTATATGATCCCTGCGAGCAGTGCGAGCTTTCGTCCCCTGAGGAAAACTGGAGACATTTGTTTTTTTGGTGTCCTCAGGGATGTCAGCAAAGCTTACAGCTCCACCTCACATCAAATTTATTTGACTATAGCTGCTTTCAGACATGCACATACGGGCCAACGCCACTGTCAGTGTGCTGTTAACGAAAACACGTGATCTCCAGAGGAATTAATTTGTTACATCCTGCCTCTGTCTGCTGCGCCACCCCTCATCTGAACACTCTGAGATTTCTCAGTTGTTGTGAACGGGTCTGAGCAGAGATTCTTCTGCTGTGTTTTTCATGTGAAAAAGGCAAGTCCAGACCCCATTCTCTGGAGTTCACGTCTGTTTAGCAGCTTAGAAAATACAGATGATTTGTTCCCTTGAATAAAAGCTGCGATCTTACCGAGGGGGTCGACACCAGGTTTGCCTGGGACAGGTCTGAACTGTGGCGGTCCACTGGGTCCTGGGGTGTTGGACTCTTGAGACATGGGGGTCCCTGGCTTCATACCTGGAGTGCTGGATTTCTCCCTCTGGAAAAGAGCCGAGAAGAAAAAGAGAAAAGTTAATAAACAGAAGAAGGAAAAGGAAATATCACTGGAATAAAAAGTGATATAAAGAAACTGCCTTTAGATGTGAAGGGAAAATATAACGGTAGAGCAACAGCAGAAGAATGGCAGAGGAAAGCACACAAACAAAAAGAGAGAATGACAGTAAGAGTGGGTGAGGGCAGGTGGAACCTGGAGAGTGCTGTGGGATGTCAGCAGTTCACACTGAATGTGAGACAGATGTTGAATATACACCATGATAACTCCAACATGAACTGTTGACCCCAAACAAACAACAGAATACAATATGTGCTGACAGCATGAAAACACTGATGTCCTGTGCTGTCTTCCTTATGTCCATGAGCGGTCAACTTCACTGCACACGTGTGAACTCATACAGATGTGTTTGTTTACCTGTGGGGGCTCTTTGCCGCGGGAGGGGGAGGGGGCGCTGCTGGAGGAGGCCAGGGAGGTGGGGCTGGCCTGCGGTGGACCCTCCTTACGAGACTGGGGCATCTTGTCCAAACCGTTCTCTCTGGATGAGTAGGACTGCACGCTGCGTGGGGACGACGGGTCCTGAATCCAGAACACCAAACTTTGTGAGATTACAGTGTTTTTCATCATTTTTATTGATTTCTCAGAATATTTCATTGGTTTTGATGAAAAACAAACTGGCATGTGTGGAATTTGGTGCAGATCCCAACTCAATTTTGGAACTGGTGAATTTACGTGTGGTTTCATAAGGAGACATTTGGGCCTTTACAGAGGTATGCACTCTCTGAGTGCTATTCTTGTTTACTTGTTTTAGCTTTGAAAAAAACTTTGCTTATTTCCTCACAAGAAGTTCACCATGTTTCTCATTATTCATAGTTTAACTGTATTTCTTGCTGTAATCTTTTCTCAACTTCATTGGCCAATGTGACCATTGAGAAAAAATTACCTCATGTTTGCACCCCTGTTGGTTTGTTTGTCAGCAGAAATATGCAAAAACTACTGAACGTCTTTCAACAAAAGTTGGAGGAAGGATGGAACAGGAGCCAAGAAAGAATCTAAACAAAGGGATATTTTTTTTCACTTACTTTAACATCAGTCTTTTGACATTTTCCCCCAATTTCCCAGGGAATGAGACGCGTTAAGAAGGCTGATATATATGTATAAGTGTGTGCGATTTGGTGCGGCTTCATTGCATTTTAAGGGACTTTTGGGCCTTGGCGGAGGTATGTGCTCTACTGATGTTGCTATTCTAGTTCCCCAAGTGTTTATAACATCTAACACAAAATCAGGCAGTTAATTAAATCAAGCAGGTGATTTCCAAAGTTGCAGTACTTTTAGTATGAAACTCTGGTTTTATGTGTACAGAATCACTTCCAGTTTATCTTATGCAGAGTGGATATCATATATAAAACCTAAACATTAAACGTTGAGGTGATTTTAAAATGCGTGTGACCTGCTGTGAAGCGCATGTTTGTCTGTGTATTTATGGTTGTTTATTAAGAAATGAGGCCGGGCAGAGGTGGATGAGGACGGGAGGAGACTGTTATTGTTATCATGATTATTCACATGGTCCTTCTGGGCATGTTTACGTGATGTATGCAGATGGAAGCGGTGAAGTGAGGCCAACACAGGCCGGCAGCCGCCTACTAACCTCATCCACCACCAAATTATCATCACTCTTATCTGCATCGCTGCCCTGTGAGAGAGAAGAGAGAGTGAAAATTAGATATTCTGCTCTGCTGTATGATGCATGTAGGAATATATGCATGAACACACAAGAAGTCATACAAGCACACAAAAAGTTATACACAAGCAGAGGAGAATTAAGTCATAATGTTAGGCTACTTGTCATGCTATAAGGAGAATGTACCTGTTGCCAAAATTAGGAATGTGGAGCATCTGTTTGTTATACTTTGTAAGTCCTGGCACCACATTATCATGAGTGCCAGGACTTTGAAAAAAGATTTATAAGAAACTGAATTTCAAAGAAAGGATCCACACAGACTTTTTTCCCCATTAAATTACAACTTTATTCTCGTAATATTACGACTATATTCTTATATGACTTTCATCTCAATTACACTTTTAATCTCAAAATCTCAGAATGGCCCTAATACTCAGTCGTAGTGCACAACCTCATGCATTTGAATGTTTTGTAAAAAAAAGAGCTTTCATTTCTCACAGTGCAAATAGAGGGAAATTAAACAACCTATCTTGACATTCTATTACCTGAGATGGTTGATTAAACACAATGGACAAGTGTAATTAATCTTACATTTATACACTTGTAATTTGTTTTAGATGTTCAGCTGGACAGCTGACAACCTCTTCAGCAGAGTTCATGTTTTTAATGTTTCAGGTAGAACAAAGCAGAAATAAAATGCATTTCTCAGACATAATCAACATCAACATAATCCCTCACCATGCTCAACATATCTAATCTTCCACAATGACACCAATAGTGAAGTAATGGCACCAGGAAGTGAGACTATTTTAATTATGATCTGAAAACTCCACTGCACAGACACCAGTGCTTGAGTAAAACTTTGCCCCAGTTACTTAGAAATTTCACAGTTTGATGAAAGCGTCCTCACATAGTCCGTCATGAACTCCTTCTCATCAGCTTTCCTCTTCTTGCCATTGCTGAGGTAGTCTGCTGAGCGACCCTTATCCCCGTTGGACAGCGAGCTCTGGAGAGGGAGCAGAGGGAAGTGGAGAGGGTGGAGTGAATTGAGAAACGAGTGAGGCAAAGAGTAAAGGGGAGGTGTGCAGGGGGGCACAAAGAGGTGGAGGAGATGAAGGCAGGAAGGTGAGAGGAGTAAAGAAAAAAGGGAGTGAGGGTGGAGAGGAAGGAAAAGGGTGATAATGAGGTGAGAGGGACGGCAATAAATCACGCCAGGCTCATAAGCTACAGAGATGAATGTGAAAGAATATCAGTCTGCATCGATCGTCGCTGTACGAGTCAGAGGGAGAAAGAGAAGGTTTCAAGCTTTCTATAAAGCAGCAGATTTAAGCCAATGAGATATTTTAGAAAATAGAGCTGCCAAACCCTGTGTACTTTTAGCTAAACACAGCTAAAAAAAGATAACACAAAACTGGTGTGTAAAAGTGGTGTTTACTAAGGCACATGCAGTGATACAAGGCCTGATGACTTTTTGCTCTTTAGAGCTTCTGTCAACAGCTTTATTTTATTTTTTATGGGCATTGTGTCTTTATTAACAGAGAGTTCAAGTGTGCAATGGGGAGAAAAGATGGGGGAGCAAAGAGTCGAGGAAGAACCAAACCTACAGCTGCTGCAGGAGGACTCCAGGCTATCAGGTGAGATAGTGGTCACCACTTTATTTTAACTTTGATCTGTGATGTTTGAATAAGTTTCTGATAATTTCAAAGACCTTTCCTAGAAAGAACCACTGAATGTAGAACTAGTTACAGGGAAAATATTTACAGGGAAAATATTTCATCCATTGGTGAGTGTGTGTGTGTGTGTGTTTTTTAATTGGTGTAGTGATTTGTACTTACTGGTCCTGCTTCACGGTCTGTTCATTCCAGAAAACAGCACCGAGACACATCCAGGTACCAGGCCACAGGACAGCCAATGCAGATCAGGGGACATGGACACAAACACACACACACACAAAGTCCAAGATTATTTGTGATCACTTTACATCTCTCGACAGCTGATAACTCAGTGGAAACAATGTCCCTGAGGAGTGTTATTATCAGCAACACACTGTGCTTTGCCAAAAAGCCAAAGCAAAGCCGATCATCAGAATCCATCGAGCCAAACTCCAGTGATTACTCTGCTTCGAACCCCAAAGACATTTTCATCTTCAAGTATCCAATCCAGCTCTGAACTTGAGTTTTGCAAAAAAAAAAAAGTAAACAATATTTAAAGGGATCCTGTACCTCTGTGGTGCTCTGCAGCAGCAGCAGCGGCCGCTGCTGCCTCTAGGTGGGCTCTCTCATCCTTGGCAGCCAACTGAGCCCCCAGAGCCCCGGACAGGGCCAGCAGGCTGGATCCTCCGCCAAGTGCCAAGCCGGGGTGGGGCAGTCCTGATGGGTGTGGGCCCATTGGCAACCCCTGGGCATGCTGGGAAAGGTGCTGTGCCTGAAGCTGCTGCTGCAGAGATGCAGAAGAGATGAAGAAAGAGAGAGGGGAGACAGGAAGAGATTTGGGTGACTTACGAGCACTGACAGAACTAGTTTGACAGGAGGTGAAAAGGAGGAAGGAAAGGAAGGGAACCAATTGCTGCGATGTGCACGAGAGGAGAGACGCTGCGGTCAGGGCAGTGGATCTGCAGCCGGATCAACCTGATGGAAACTAAACTAAGAAATGATTAAAACTAATGTTTTGTCTCAATTCCAGTGAATCTGCTTTTAAAATTATATGGACCCATTCTTTAATTTTGATCATTTAGGGGGCTGAAAAGAAAAGAAAAAAAAATTTAAACGATTTTGAATCTGAATCCAATTTTTTAAAAATATCATCCAATAAATAGATTAATTTTAATGTGGGCCACGGGATAATTGCCTCAATAAAAGGTAAAGGAGGAAAAATAAATAAACGGGAGTATAAGTTACACACGCTATGAGGCAGAGGGGGGAGCCCACGTACCCCTATCGAAGCATTTAGCTCCCCCATGGTCACCTGTTTGGCGCGTTCCATGGCCTGGACCACCTGTTGTTGATGCTGTGGAACAAACCAAAAGGTCAGTGGAGGCAGGTGGATTCAGAAAGAAATATTATGACTGGATATTAACAATATTACATTTCTTAACTAGAGTGAAAAATATTCTCAATATACATTTTTCACATGGGAATCTGCAGCCATTTGGTGATCGAGGAAAATTAATGTGCTTTTAAGTTCTGTCCATCTGTGTCTGGTGTGAATGTGAATTATTGATAAATGTGTAGTTTGCATGTGCGTGCCTTCTGTGTGGGCTGCTGTCAGACAGGAGAGAGACAGCTGAATGCTCTGTGTGTGTGTGTGTGTGGGTGTGTGTGTGTCGGTCCCACACCTCCTGTGACAGAAATGGGATGAGCTGAGCACAGATCACATTCAACCGCTTGGCAATCTCCGTCTGAAAGAGAAAAAAGATACTGTCACTTTGATGAATAAACACACCCACAACGACCAGATTGAGGATGAACAAACAAAAAGACACGCACACACTCATAAAAGGTCACACGCACACACACACACACACACCATGAGCTGTGGCCTGTTTCTCCCAGGGCCAGTGTGGTAAATATTTCAGCTGCTTACATCTGGTCCATGCAAATGGAAACTCTGCCAGGGAGTTTGGCTAAAATATTCATGGACAGCATCTGCTGTGGCCACAGCCAGCCCACACACTGTGTGTGTGTGTGTGTGTGTGTGTGTGTGTGTGTGTGCGCGCACACACACATTTGTTTCTGATGTGTCCTTGCATGTCTGTTTGTGTGCTCTTGCACTTGCTTTTGTGTGTGTACGTGCAAGTGTGTTTCCTGCTGGGGGTCAGTGATTCTTGCTGTGGGTGTGTGTCTGTCTCGATCTGCTCTACTACACAGCCAACAGCCAACTCTTCCTCTCTTCCTCCCACCCTCCTCATCATCTCCCTTTCCATCTCTCTCTATTTATCGCTCTTTCCATCCAATCCCTTGTTCCATTTCTCCCTTCCCAGTATTAGCGCCGTAATCAGTGTAACAAATGCTGCCATGTGATGTTTAACAGACACACACACACAAACACATTTAGCGGCAGGCCCAACAAGGCCGTTAGAGCCAGTAATGATATGCATGCAGAGATCATGACAACATCATTATGGCTGCAGGCTGTTTGTCTTCTTGACAGCTAGACTCTGCTCTGAGTGTGTGTGTGTGTGTGTGTGTGTGTGTGTGTGTGTGTGTGTGTGTGTGTGTGTGTGTACGTATACATGCACACTACCCAACCCATTCTCTCTCTTAAGTGATTTATTGATGCCAGACTGAACTTCCGCCCCCTCCCTTTTCCTCTTCTTCCTCTCTCACCCCCCCTCTCTCATTTCTCTTGCTTGCCCACATCTCTCCTTCCCTCCACTCTCCATTTTCAGCCAGACATGAGTGTGTTCCCCCCTCCCTCCTCTGAATCCATCACCCCCCCTCCCCAAGGGAGACACAATGATTTCTTGTTAGAGAACTCCAACTACTAAATGACATCTTCAGGAAAGAGGGAGAAAGAGAGAGAGAGAAGAGAGAACATGAGCAATCGAGAGGAGGATAAAGAGGGGAGGACAAAATGAAAGGGAAAATGAAAAGAGGAGGTGGAGGGAGGAGAGGAGGAGGAATAGGGCAGATTGGGCTGAGGAAATGACAGCTAGTGAACGAAGGATGTGGGAGGGAGAGGAGAAATAGACAGAGAAAGAAGAAACAGAAGGAAGGCGGGGGAGGGAAGAAGAAAAAAAAATGAGATTGGGAGGTGGGATGGGGGCGGCGGAGTGGCTGCAACGGTGGCACGTCAAAAGTGAAGCGATTGAGATGGTGAAATGAAATGAGCGAGGGAGAGGGAAAGAAAGAGAGTAGACAGCAGGAAGGCAGTGACCTGATTTAAAGTGAAATTCAGCATGGACTGTACTGTATGTCTGCGAGGAGGGAGGTGGAGGGAGGATGTACAAATAAATTTTAAAAAAGATGCGGGGAAAGAGAAATCGGTGGAGAGGAGGGGAGACAGAGTCAGGGACGGTGAAGAAATGGAGATTAAGAGAGAGAAGCATTAAAAAAGACCAGCAATTGAAGGGAATGGAGAAAAAGAGGAATAAGGGACAGAGAATCAGGGCAGGAGTGGGAGGGATGGGTGGATGGAAGGAGGGAGGGAGGGAGCACAGGGGCAGTAACAGACAGGGATTTATGACGGACGGATGAGTGTGGGGGGGCTGATCTGGAAGCTTGGGGAAGGAGTATTTTCATCTGTATGTGGAGAAATGAATTCTGTTTGTGGATCCTATTAACGCCTCCACATCATAACAGCACTATATACAAGTCCACCACAGAGGGGACTGATGGACAGAGGGACAGAGAGACAGACTCTTCACTGAAAAATATTAGTTACATGGAGTGAAGCTGATGGGAGCAAAAAGAAAAGAGCTTGTGATAACAATGCAAGAGTATAATTTTAAGCTTTAGGAGCATGAGGCAAGAGGGATGAGAGAGAGGGCAAGAGACCTTAAAGACAGGGGAGAGAGAGAGAAAGAGAGAGGGAAAGAGATGTAGAGTTCACTCACCTGTTTGTGCATTTCAATGTTAAGGCCATAGGACATCTCATAATACTGAAATACAGAGGAGAACATCATTTAAAACAAGTGAACATTGATGAACTGTGTGTGAGTGCTTTCATGTGTGGAGAAGATGAAGCTGGAGGTTTTTTAAATAACTAGAATAAAACAGAAATAACAGCGAATAAGAAAAGGATCAATCCTAACCCGATATATACTGGACAAAACGATATTGACCTAATTCAAAATTCTCATTATTTCGATTATGGTGTTGACATGAGTTGCAAATAGAATATTCCATTCATATTCCTGTATACATGTGTAGCCGGATTATGACTCATGTCAACATTGCGTCCACTACATTGTGCACCAAATGTTATTTTGTCAGTTTTCAAACCCCAACCTGAATTAGCTTTAAGAACAATGCTGTTTATCATTTGAGATGTTTTCATTCCAATTTAGCAAAAGCTACAACTCTGTGAAATGGAAAAACTTTAGAGCGGAATCATTAGACCTCATAAAAAAAATTGGATGTTAAATTTAATTGTCATGTCCTATAAACATGATGAAGTTTGGCAATTTAAAATGTAGATGTGATAAAAATGATTGAACACAGAAGTTTATTGATGTTCAAAATGTTCTTATTGTCAAATCTCATGTTGTAAAAACCACCTCACTATCAGTCCCATGTTGTGGTATCCAAATATTCACCAACACAGCAAATATGTATTAATCTGCAGCTAAAAGTATTTCCCAAGAAAAGCAATATTTACTCCTGTTTAATTAATATCTCCTGAAACCTACAGTACTGCAGCACCCTGATGTTCTACAATATTGTTGCCTTTATTTGTTTGCTGTACATATTGTTGTTTGTATTGCCAGTCTTATCCTGTAAGAAATAAAAAGTTATTTAAAAAAAAAAAATCATTGAATTTCTCTTGATTTTGGATTTACACAAAACAATATTTGACATATATTTTTTTTATACCAATAAATTCAACAGTGTGAGCCCTGAGCCTCTCACAAAAGCTATGCTCCCAGCTTCAGACAGTGCCAGGCTGAGCATGTGCACTCTGAAGAGCCCATATGTTCCTGAAAGCACATCACCACTAATTTCACCTCCACTCCGCTGAAAGTCAATGGCTCTAAAATGACCTGAGGCACATTATGGAAGCCAGGAGTCCACCAAAAGTGTCACCGGGCAGCGGAAGCTGTCCGACTATTGTAATAATCAAGTCTAATGAGAGCTTTTTGACTCCAGCCTTCATCCTAAAGTACAAGGGAGCTTGTGAGGAATGCAAGGAGGAGCTCCGTCTGTCTCTCTACCTTCAGGGATGGATGAAAAAAGAGAGCATTTTAAAGTCAGAGGCTTCGAGAAGTGACAGGCTGACATTTGCTTTTCAGCGTGGCTGGTTGTGGAGAGATAAGATTGGCAGCTGGGCAGCCATAACAGCCTGGCAGGATGGGAGAGGAGATGGCAGGGGTCCTCTCTCTCCAGACATCTTTCCTGGCAGTTAGCATGCATGTGTGTGTGTGTGTGTGTGTGTGTGTGTGTGTGTGTGTGTGTGTGCGTATGTGTGCGTGTGTGTACGTTTCTGTGTAGGTGTGTGTGTTTGCGGCACAGGAGTGCATCTGTGTAGGAGTGTGTATCTATGTGCTTTGTGTGCATGTTTCCCTCCGAGAGTGTGTGTGTTTTCAGCAAGTGTGTGCCTGCTCCTCTTTCTGTGTGTGTTTGTCAGTGTGCCTTCAGAGAAGACGCCTTTCCTGGCAGCTCTGCTTGGCAGTTGGTGTGCCAAGTTTTCGCCTGTTGCTTAGCAACATCCAAACTCCCCCAAATCATCAGCCAAGAGAAGGAGACCTGGCCTGTGCTTCATGCCAGCTACCCCCTCTCCCAATCACTAGAAACTTCAATCCCTGCACTGGCACCGTCTCTGTGCCAAGATTACCACATAGCTCCGATTTGGCATGGCTGCTCCTGGGCAGCCCGCACTCAGTCAGCTGTGGCTGTGTGAGATCACAGGTAAACTAAGGCTGTAGGTTTGCAGATGTAAAAAATAAAGAAGGACAAAGGGTGTTGGCCTTTTCTTTACCCTAAAAAGCTTGGCCGATAATGTTTCCTCTATAATCACACGGCTCCCAGCATTCAGAGCCTCTGACTGCAGAGAACTAAGCTCAGAAACAGCAGTTGAGCAGAGAAACTGTGTAAACTACATCTAATAATTCCAGAAATCTCTGTCTGTCTGTCTGTCTGTGGTTCTCTATCTCTAGAACCGTTCGTCTTATCAGGGGGTCAAAGGAAGTTTTGGACACAGGAAACCTTCAATATTAATAAAGTTTGAATAAACTGGTGACAAGCACTTTGTAGCAACAGCAGCTAGGACTCATCAACCTACATGACGTTGTCAATCCCGACAATGTCATCACAATGACGGTAGAGGTCACAACAACGATGACTGATTGTCCAGTTCAGGGTCCAGCGTACTGAGTTGATCTACACTGAACTTTGAATCAACAGGTGAACAGCAGCAGTGGCTCCATGGTTCTGTGGATTAAATCCGACAACAGGCCTTTACTTGCCATGGCTCAATCACTGCAGGTCACTTTTACAGTTTCAGAGATCAAACTGCAATCAGTATAAGCACATGTCAACAGTCCATTCCTAACAGGCAGGTTTAGAATGGACACTGCCCAAAATCTTAGGAAGCATTCTGGGATTCAACCCATGGTCAGATGTTCTTCCTCCGCCTTCAGTGATCAGATGCAGAAGCATCAAACTTTAGGAAACTATCTGCAATGAGAGAACTGATCATGTGATCAGACAAACACAGCAGAGTTGCGAGGGGATGACTGAAAACCAGTGATACAGTTGGACTTAATCAGTGGGCTGTGCAACTAATGACAATATTTATGACCAATTTATCTTGTGATTACTATCACGTCACAATTTGAATCTAGAAAATATAATAAAACATCCAGATGTTGGAAGCCAGTTTTTAACATTTCAAAGTTTGATAGTCACATTTGGGTTAGAACCAGACGAGTAAGAGGTTCTGCGCACGGCTCTGAACAGATGGCACAGGACTAAATGTCTCAGACACAAAAACACTTGCAAACACAGATGCAAGACTGCACACCCATGTAAGTGCTATTTATTCTGCATCTTATAATGTGTGTGTGTTTGTGTGTGTGTGTGGTCTTGTGTGTGGGGTTCTTGGTGGGTGTTGTTTGGCAGCTGTTAGCAGATGAAAGGGATTCAGCGGGCTTGGCACTGCAATGGGTATGAGTGTATGTGAAGAGACATGGCTTGGGTGTGTGCTTGGGTGTGTGTGTGTGTGTGTGTGTGTGTGTGTGTGTGTGTGTGTCTCACCATAACATAGTGTCTCTGAATCTCAGTCTTCTCTGTAGCCAGTTTCTCACACTCCATTTTCAAACTGCAACAGGGAGAGACGAGAGAGAAACAATAAAATGGGTTAGTTTTAATTTGTATCATATTACAAATAAAAATACACAATGCAATTAGCAAGATTTAACAAATTACTCTCTACACCTCCCTCTCTTTCCCTGTCACACTCAGTTGGGGAGGGGGAGCAGGGTGAGTGGGGGGCTGACAGCCCATTATCACCTCAGAGCAGAGCAGAAATAGACGAAGTCACGCTCGGAGCCTGAAATGCAGCCAAAAGTGCAGGCAGGCACATCCAAGGTGTCTCTCGCTCGCTCGGGGCAATTTTCAATCTATCCACGTGCGCTCCACTCCTCGTTTTGTTGCTTCTCCAATTACCAGGCCAGTCTATCTGTCTGCACGTCTGTCCGTCTGATCGTTCCCCTTTCTTTCTCCTTCGACAGCACACTTTGTCAAGTTGCATTTAAGTCTTGAGTTTCTGCTTTAAGTGGGATAAATGTGGCAATTCTGTCGGAATATACTTTTTTCTACTTCAGTTTAGTCTCACTTTTTATGTCAATGACATGAGCCATGAGTGTGGCTCAGACTGTTGTCCCTGTACAGACCTGGTATTAACATCTGTCTGAAGAGATGCGATCACAAGTGGACAGCTCTGAGTACAGTTCACACCTGGCATTAAAATGTGTCTCCTGTGACGACTTGTGATCAGAGTTCACTTCCTGCTCTATATGTAAATTCACATGTAGATCATTTCTGTTTCAAAGGGCCAAATTATTATGTTTTAGCCACTCTGACTATACAGCTGTGCCCATTGTCAGTGAGCTCGTGAGTGAATCAATGCACCGTGTGCAGTTCTGCTAAATAACAATACGAATTTACTCACTTGAAACAGTACAAAAATAGAAAATCTATATTTGTAGTTGTAGAAATTCATCAATGCATGGGAAACACTGAGAAGCGCTCTAACACTTCATTATCAATCAATCAACCAAATTTTATTTGTTTAAACCCTATTTACAAATCACAATTTGTCTCATAGAGCTTAACAAGGTGCAACATCCTCTGTCCTTAACCGTCAACAAGAGTAAGGAAAAACTACCAAAAACCCTATTAACAGGGGAAAACGAGGAAAGATCAGAGAGCCATGTGTGAGGGACGGACAGAAGTGCAATAGCGTGTAACTGAACACATTAACAAATTACAATATTTACAACATTGATTAGAAGAAACCGTTTTTAACAGAGTGTGTCAATGTTTAAAGTATTTATACATTAGAAAATAAAAAGATGAAGGGAGCAGCTATTACAATCGAGGAGTAATTGCCAGTAATGGTGGAATATGTGAGACATATTGTATATCAAGCAATCTTGTCCATTGAGCGGTAGACCACAAGTGGACAGTTCATGTGTGGACACATAGAGGATGTATTTGATCTGATCACCCAGACGATATACAGAGGTGCTCTGGGACGCATGTGGCCAAATTACTTTCAATGTGTAATGCAAACATGTCCTGGCCCACATATGAAGTACCGCCTACTCACCTCTGACCAGCTACAATTTAATGAGTGGAAAATATTTTTTCTCTCGTCTATTCCTAGACATTGATAAATTTGTGGCCCCCACCACATGTTGACCACAAATCAGCCATCACATTTTTTTCATTGCGTTAAATCAAGTAGAGCAAACAGAAATTAAGTACGTTTGTTTGCATAGAGCAGGGAAGTGTGATTCGATCACAAGTGGCTACAGGAGACTCTTGAAGAGACAAATTCTAATGCCAAGCTGTCCTCTCGCGTGATCGGATCACCTGACATGGACGTTAAAACACGTTCAACTGTAACAGCCCTCAATCAGGAAACATTTGCGTTCATAATGCAACAAGAAAATGGCCACATGCATCCCAGAGCCCAGACCAGCTCTGATTGAATTCGGATCAATTTAATCTAAAATGCGCCCTTAATGCTTCTGCGTTCACAGCTGTATACTTAGAGCTTTCCACTTTTGATCCAATCACCCAAACAGGTTAATACAAGACCTGAACAGGGCCTGTGAGCAAAAAAGTTCCATCAGAGCTACAGTGAAGCCTGGTGTGAACGCTTCTTGACACACATATCAGTGCATGCACATAAACACACACACCTCTGAGGTGATAGCATCCAAACATCTCCCTCGTGTACTGTATATCTGTCTGTCCTCTGTGTCTGCTTGTCTCTCCTCACACTAAACAGTCCCTTGTGTCTTCTAAAACTAGATAATGCCAGTGGCTGAATTTACACAGACACACACACACACACACACACACACACACCGAAATGTGTTCAGGTCAAGCATACAAACACCTCCCTTGTTACCTCTGCAACTCACTCCCCACCTCTCTCACCCCATCTCCTCTCACTCTCTCACAAACACACTCAGAGGTGCACACTGTGCTCCACCTCCAACTCCGCTCCAGAGAGGGAGGATATTTTGGGCCCTCTGCAGTTTACACCGACTTGTTTGCGGGAGGCAGAAAGATTGATAGAAGGGGCTGTTGTAAGGCGTGGTAAGGTGGGACATTGGAGGTGGGTGAATGGAAGTGGTGGTGGTGAGGGGGGGGTCGTTTGGAGGAGGAAAATTACAATATGATTAATACCGCAACATTACCCCCAGCCGCAACAGGTAATAACGTTCCCATCCGCTCCCCTTCTCCAGCGCTGCGTGCACACACACACACATAATTGACTCATTTATCATTGCCAGCCAGTTGAGGAGAAGAGGGACGAGGGCGGAGAGGGAGAGACGCAGGACGAAGAGTGGGAGAGGTAGGTGGTGGTGGTGGAGAGAGGGGACGAGGATTAAACCCCCCTCCTCCCCCCACCCTATAGATTTTATTACAGTGGAATTGCCTCTCAGCAGAAGTCACTCACAGCTGGGCTGAGAACTAATGTGACTGTGTGTGTGTGTGTGTGTGTGTGTGTGTGTGTGTGGCCAGCATGTTTATCACGACATAAACTTGGGATGAGCTTGGAGAAACAAAGCAATGACTACACAAACACACACAGGTTTGCGCAGCTATCCCTGTTAGGACTTGACTTCCATTCATTGTGGACAGTCAAACCAAAACTTTACCCTTTTACCTTAACCATGACTCATTTCATGCCAAACCCTAGATTGGTTAGGGTTTGGCCCTAACCTTAATCTAACCACAATTCACATCTTAGCCTGAACCTTAACCAGGAACTCAGAAATAAATTTTTGGTCCATTAGGCTTTGGTCCCCATGAGGTACACTGGTCCTGACAAGCTCAGTGTTTATAAGGTCCTAGAGATACACAAAAACAAGTACACACACGCTGTAGAATTCCTATGTTTATAAATGTGTCACTGAAACTAAAATAAGATTGTAATTTTTGTTGTCATTAAAATTTGATTTGTCAAATAAAATATAAAATAGTGACAATGGCCATCAAACATTTTGCTGTATCTGGTTAGCAGTCTAAAAACATTAAGATTCGTTTATAAGTAGCTAATACTCACTAAAAGGCAGGAACAAGAACGTTTAACAATTTCGTAGGAAAAATTACTCAAACAATAAATCAATAATTGAAACTGTCTCCAGTCACTTGAGCACAGCTGAGCACCTGAGATGCAAGTTGTTCAGTTCTCTCTTCTCTGACCAATCTATGATATGGCCAAGCCAATGAACAGAACGTTCTAATAATGAATGAAGTAATATTAATGTATTTGTCACAATTGATTTGCTGTCTAATTATTCCAGAGCTTTAAACATGATGTTGATGCCCACTGGTGATGAATCCATATACAAACAGGTTACTGATATAACATAATAACTCACAGCAGGTATATTTCTTTTCTTGAAAATAATAATTCAGGGCAGAAAGTAGCAGCAGTCTGAGCCATGCTGTCTCTATACCCGTAAGAAAGATCTGTCCTTTGTTTTTGGCATATCACTCCAGATATTGCACAAGGTTGGGTAGCAAATATAAACACACATGCACACGCGTGTGCACACAGTTACTTCTTGTGCTTACAGGAAAGACCCCAGGGTCATTCTTAGAAAGCAATAACCATTCCCCACAAAATGGACTTCTAGAAATGAAATCCGGTGTGTGTGTGTGTGTGTATATGTGTGTATGGTCATGTGGGGATATTGTTCAAAACCACTGTTGTGGGGACATTTTGATCATCAAAACATTGAAGGGCTGTTTGAGGGTTAAGACTTTGATTGGAGTTAGGTAAGGTGTTAGGGTTGGGCATTTAGTTGTGATGGTTGAGTTATGGGTAAGGGGCAATATGCAAGTATCCTCATAAATGTAGAAAGACCAACGTATGTGTGTGTGTGTATTTGTGTTGCCATTGTGTGAGTGTGGGAGCACAAAAGAGCTGGAGGGGGTGAAGAAAATGAGGGAGAGAGGGGAGGAGAGCGGTGTGCAGGAAGTGGGTATTTCATGTCGAAATGATTGCCTGTAATAATTAGTCTTTGGCTCAGCACCATTTACTGAGAGAGAGGGAGGGAGGAAGGGAGAGAGAGAACTACAGGGAGGAAACAAGATTGAGTGAGCGAGCAAGAGAGAGAGAGAGAGAACCAACAAGAGGGAAGGAGATGGAACTGTGTGTGTGTGTGTCTCCGTGTGCTCAGTTCCTCCAATCTTTCACTGGCGGTGACAGGAGATAAGATGATCAGCTGAATGCGCTACAAATCTGCAGCCTGCCAGCCTTTAGACAGCTCTGTCAGTGCAGCAATGGTACTGAACACACACACACACACGCGCACAGCACACAAATAGACGTGTGTGTGCATGAGCACTAAAGCAACATTCACTTACAGCCTTAAACTTCATGTATGTAGACACATGAAAACACACACACACAATCTCATACAGTATTTTCACCCACATGTACACACAAACCTGCTAAATAAACACAGGCATGAACACACACAGGCTCGAACAAGAGCCTACAGACAGCGAAGCGTCTAATTAAGACCCTGCACTTAGTAGAAAATGTGCAGACTGCCGTGTTTGAAACAG